TACAAGGCTGGACTATTAAGACTAAATAACTGAGTAACAAAACCGAAATAACATTTATACCCCTGTCCCAATAATTCTTATATTCTCCTAATATTTTCATATCAATACTCCCCTCCACAACATCCTTGCCCTCAAGGATCAACAAGAGAAAAATCTGGAAACTGCTTTTGAAATTTAAATTGAGACAACCATGTAGCTTCCTCATCTAGCAAGCCTTTCCACTAAACTAAGACTTCAGTAATAATCCTTCCTTTCTTCCTTCCTACTCGCTTGTTCAGCATTTTCTCAGGAAATAACAAATCTGGAATTTCTGGCCATTCATCAGGTGGAGGTCTTTGCTTCACTGATGGGTCAAGGCATAACTTGAGGAGAGAAACATGAAAAGTGGAATGGATTCTAGAACTAGGAGGTAATTCCAGTCTGCAAGCAACGTTCCCTATCCTCGAGCACTTTATAAGGCCCAAGGTACCTTGGTGCTAGCTTTTGAGTGCTTCTAGAGGCAATAGAGATTTGTCTATAAGGCTGTAATTTTAAAAACACCCATTGACCTTCTTCAAACTCTATTAGATCTTTTCAAATCAGCCATTTGCTTCATTAAACTCGCTACCCTATGCAAATGATGCCTTACACTCCAAACATGCGTTCCCTTGCCTCAAAACTCCTATCCACAGCTTCAACAATTGTTGTTCTAGGCAAATAAGGAATATATAGAGGAGGTTTCTACCTATAAAGTAATTCATAGAGAGTAGCCTTGATGGAAGTATGAAAACTAGTATTATACCACCATTCAGCAAGTGATAACCATTTACTCCATTCTTTAGGATTCTCCCAACACATACAACGTAGATAAGTTTCCAAACATGAATTAAGCACCTCGGATTGACCATTGGTTTGAGGATGGTAGGAAGAAGTAAGCTTTTGCTCCACTCTAATCACCTTGAGGAACTCCTTCCAAAAACTACTAATAAACACTGGATCCCTATCACTTATCACTTCAACCGAGGCTCCATGCAATCTATATATATTATCCAAGAATGCTTGAGCTAACGTAGAAGTTGAAAATGGGTAAGATAGAGCCATAAAATGGGCATACTTGCTCATTCTATCCACTACAAACCCGAATGACTTCTTTCCCACCTGATTTGGGGAACCCTTCGATAAAATCCATGGTAACACTCTGCCACACCTTACTCGGAATTGGTAGTGGCTGTAACACTCCCAAATTTGCTACTGTTTCATATTTACAGTGGGTACAAGTGTCACAATTCTTGACAAAATCCTGCACATTTCGTAACATTTTCTTCCACCAAAATAACCCTTTGATTTTTTGATATGTGGCTTGTATTCCTGAGTGTCCCCCTTCAGCACTAGCGTGTAACCATTCTAGAATAAATTGCCTCAAAGCTAGACTTTCCCCCACCACCAATTTCCCATTTCTTCGAAGGAATTTGCCATCCCAAGAATAGGCTTTAATACTGCCATTTTGTCTCTGTAATTTAGAAATAAGGCCCTTGAGATTTGGATCCAACTCCCAACTCTCCTCAAGCTTGTGTAATAATTTTGGAGATGATATATCTAAAGCCATTTGAAGTAATTGAGGTCGTGAAAGTCAAGAAAGAGCATCCGCAACCGTGTTATCATTCCCCTTTTCATAATGAATTTCGTAGTCATACCCCATTAACTTTGTAACCCAATACATCTGAAAAGGGGTCTTCAACTTTTGACCCAGCAAAAATCAAAGGCTTTACTAATCTGTTTTGATAACAAACTTCCTTCTTTCAAGGTATTGATGCCAATGCTCAACAGCTAGGACAACTGCCAATAATTCCTTCTCATAAACTGCAAGCTGGAGCTGTTTGGGACCCAAAGCCTTGCTGAAAAATGCAATGGGTTGATTTCCTTGAAGCAGGACAGCCCCAATTCCCTTCCCACAAGCATCCGTTTCCACTACAAAGTCTTAATTGAAATCTGGGAGAGATGAGACAGGTGCTAAAACAAGTATTTGTTTCATCTTCTTGAATGTGACAGCAGCTTCTTCATGCCACTTGAATGCATTTTTTTCAAAAGGTCCGTCAAGGGTTTGATTATTTGTGTCCATACCTTTTGATAAACCTTCTATAGTACCCAGCAAGCCCTAAAAAGAACCTCAGTTGTTTAAAAGTAGTTGGTGTAGGCCAATCCACCACTGCTTGAATTTTCCAAGGGTCAATAGCCACTGGTCCATTACTAATTATGTGACCTAAGTATTCCACCTTTTGTTGGCAAATGTACACTTGCTCCTCTTGATGAAATAATGATTTTTGGGCTATAAATTAAAATGTCATCAAAGAAAACAAGAACAAAGTGGCGCAAGTAAGGTCTAAAAATAGAGTTAATTGCTCCCTGAAATGTTGCAGAGCATTGGTTAAGCCAAATAGCATAACCAACCACTCATAATGACCCGAGTGAGACCAGAAGGCTGTTTTGAATGTGTCTTGAGGCTCCATTTAGATTTGATGGTATCTAGCACTCAAATCCAGCTTGGTGAACCATCTAGCTTCCCTCAATTCATCCAATAACTCTTCCACAAGTGGAAAAGAATATCTATTTTTGATTGTCTTCTTATTAAGCTCATGGTAGTCGATAAACGTGCGCCATGAGCCATCCTTCTTTTTTACCAACACAATAGGTACAGCAAAAGGGGAGCTACTCTCTTGTATCACTCCTGTAGCTAGCAACTCTCCCATCATTTTCTCAATAAGATCATTTTGGGTAAAAGAATAACGATAAGGCTTGAGATTAATAGGATCTGTCCCTTCCTGTAAAGGAATAAGGTGATTATGACCCTTCTTAAAAGAGGGCAGACCTTTAGGTTCATCAAAAAGATTGTTAATTAAATTCTTCCAAAAGGTCACCAATAGCCTCTAGAATTGTTTCTGCTGGTTGCACAGCAAGGATTTGAGACTGAAACTGACTATTTTCTACTAATTGGAGTAGAAATAATTGGCATCCATCTCCATTCTTAATTTCCAACTTGTTGGAATCAACCATTTGCCATTTTGATGCAGGTTGTGCCTGCAAAACACACATTTTCCCATCATTCCAAAAATACATAGTAGCAGAAATATAATCCCAAAAGCATAATGAAGGCTTTTAAGCCATTCCTAGTCCAACACAATATCGTAAGTGCGTATTTTCATTATCCTAAGGTCTCTGCCAAAGTCTTCTCCTTCCATCTTCCATTTAAATGCCTTCCAGATTCCATATATTTTCAATTTTCCAGCCCCTGCAACTACTGCATCAACCATCCATCTTCTTCTTCACTCCAACCCAGCTTCTTTGCCAAATCATAATCAAGAAAATCATGGTTGCTTCCATTATCTATGAGAATTTGGATAGGTCTCCTTCCCACATATCCTTGAAGTCTCAGAATTCATACTAACTTCACCCTCAATGGCATGAATTGAAATTTGATGACATTCAGGAGGAATTTCTCGTTCATCAGGGTCTGTATCATTAGGTTTCAGCTCCTCTTCCTCAAGATTTTCATCAAGCTCAATTAATTACAATTGCATCTTGCCTCTTTGAGGGCAATTATGGCCTCTAGAAAAATTTTGACAGTAAAAGCAGAGGTTTTGTGCTCTGTATTCTGCCTCCTCCTTTGGTGTTAATTTTACGGGAATTTTAATCCCAGAAATAAATTGGCAAGAAGATGAATCTTTTGCTGTGTTAGACCCTGTGCTTTGTGCGACTGATGATTTTGAGGTTGGCCATGTTGTTTTAATTGTGTTTTGGTGAGACTCATCACGTGAGAAGCTCTGTTTTGGTGCTGCCCAGGTATTTGCAGAACACAAAGGTGCTGAGGATGTCGTAATGTTGCTCTGCAATGCGTAGGACACTTTTCTTGAGCACGTATCTAGACGTAGGGTATTTATAAGGCTGGACTATTAAGACTAAATAACAGAGTAACAGTACCAAAATAACATTTATCCTCCTGTCCCAACTAATTCTTATATTCCCTAATATTTTCATATCATTATTCTAGGAAAAAAAAATAAGTTTTCTTTATGTTAATTTAATATTTTATAGGAAGAGAAATCTGAAACCTAACTTTATATGGACATCTCTCTCTCTCTCTCTCTCTCTCTCTCTCTGCGTTTCTGCCTCTTCCCCTCTTGCTCTCCCTATTCTGTTCTTCATCTTCTTCATTTCTCCCCCTTTATTTCCGGTTTTCTCTACTCTCCCTCTATTCAGCCCTGTGCAAGTGTGTGTGTGTGTTACATCACTAAGGTCCATAATGCTTGCGTAACACCTCTGGTGCAACATGGTATGGGCTCCCACAGCATCAGAAAAGGCTTCACTGGGAAATTATAACACTGGGTTAGACATTCAAAAAAATGTCTTTTTGTTGATTTTCACAATGGCTGAAATGAAGAGAGGAAAAATCAACAGTGTAACCTCTAACTATAAGAGAAGACTATTGCTTCTTATTCAATTTTCAATAACTGCTCACATGCTGCTATACATTTTTCCTCCTCATGATTAGCACTTGGAACTTGGAACTTAATCTATACTGACTGGGAACTCCCATTGAAAATTTCTGGACTGTGAATAAGAGATAGACTTGGGAAAAGTAGTCAGTAAATACACTGAGCTACAGTATGTCTTATTTATAATTGCTTATACAAGACAAAGGAATAACGAGTAATAATGACAAAAGATATATACTGATCTGCCTAATAAGAGGCTGGTCAGCCCTAATACCATACAACAAATACAATATATATTTTGATTCTCAACATAGACAAATTACTGCTGCAACTAAAGGGTTCAAGCAAGCACTGGAAGAAGGAAGCATGCCCAGAGTATTAAAATATATTAGAATCATTCAAACAAAGATCAACAAATAGCAAATAATTAGTCTATAATAAGTGTAAAGATGTTTATTCAATTTATTTTTGCAGGATTCTTAGCCCAGATGTCATTCCACTCCCTATCAGATTTCAGTAGTAGAAAATTACTTGTACAGGACATCAGGAACCATTACTCTGCTCGATTGAAATTGATGCATGGAGAAAAGAACTGAAATTTGAACCCAAATTATGAACCCTTTATAATGAGCAGCGTAATGCTACTCTCTCAGATTGATCAGAATTCACCAAGGGAAAGATTACATTCTGCCAGAGAACTCGAGTCACTGAAGCAACCATTCCCAGATTAACCAGGACCCTTTGTTGAGGCGACAAAAGAAGAAGAAAACATCCGAGGACAAAAGGATCTAAGCCAAATGCACTCCAATTTAGCAAAGTGGAAGTTAACACAAGAGAATAATATAATCATTTCATTTTGTGCCGTCAATAAAAAGTATTTTGATGGACAATGAATTTGATTAAGGAATGGGCCTTATAATATTGAATATGCCTCCAAACAGATGGTTATTGCCTCTATTTTCTGCTTCAAAATGCACCCCCAAAAAAAAAAAAAAAAAAACAGCATACAAATGTGGCAATGTGATCGTAGGATAAATCAGCAAATAATTACCTGCTTTTACAGTTTGAAATGATGGCACCATATTTAAAAAATCCTGCCAATGTAATGGCCCAAGGACTATAAATAATTATTCAATAATGCCCAAGATGTCCAAATATGATACAAGAAAAGATAAATAAGCTTATGTATCAACCTGGCTTGCAGAAAACAGAAACTGAAATCAGCGGGCAAGTTTAGCATCCTCTTCAATGCTATCGAACAAGTTCTCTAGGTTGAGGTCTCATGCATGACCCCAAGAGAATGACAAGATTCAATAAACTCAACAATGGTCCTAAAAGTTGATCATTCTTATGTCTGATTCCCCCTTTTGCTGATCATAATCTAATTTTCATTTGTTGACCATAGTTTAATCATGAAGGTTACAGGTGAATGTAAGTCTAATTATCAAATAAAAAGGAATCATAGAAAAGCCGCCAAGCCAAGGAACAGCTGGTAGCAAAGCACTAAAAGCATTTGCTCAGACAAACACAGATTCATTCAAGGAAGTTGCACAGTGGTTAACAAGTCCAAGACTGCCCGGCATAAGTAGAAGTAGCAGAAGGTGTCGATGTGAAGAGGACAATCCCCAGCTGCGTTAAGCTAAAATTCAATTGGTTCTTTAATTTGTTGATCTAGAGTATATAGCGTAGTGTAAATAATACTTCTCTGGGGGTGGGAACAATCCCCAGCTGCAAAAACATTAGTTGTCCTATCAACTTCAATCCAGCTGCATCCCACTGGCTTTTTCATATCTTTGTTCCTCATCATCCTTCGGACCTCCATGACCCCATCCCATCTAGCATCTGCTGCATATATGTTCGACATGACAACATAATTTCCAACATCATCAGAATCAATTTTGAAGAGTTGATCTGCCACAGTACATCCCAATTCCACCTCATGATGGATTTTGCAGGCACCAAGCAATGTTCCCCACACATTTGCATTAGCTTTGCTTGGCATCCTAGCCACAAGAGCATATGCATCATGAACACGGCCACCTCGAGCCAGTAGGTCCACCACACAAGCATGTTGCTCCAGAGTTGGTTTGATTCCAAGGATTTTCTCTATTGAATAAAATATCTTCAGTCCTTCATCTACAAGGCCAGCATGACTACAAGCAGACAACACAGAAGTGAAGATAACATGATCTGGCTTGATTCCCAGGTTGAGCATATGAGAAAAAAGCCCAAGTGCTTCATCACTCATACCATGCATAGCATACCCACCAATCATTGCAGTAAACATAACCAGATCCTTATCATTGCTTGAATGAAAAAGCTTATTTGCACAGCCTATGTTGCCACATTTGGCATATGCATCTAAAAGGGCACCATTCAAGCGAATGTCATCAAAACAAGATCTGATAATATAACCATGACACTGGTTCAGCAAGTGTACTGATGCCATTTGCGTGCATACAGGAAGGAAGCTCATAATAGTCACTGCATCAGGTCTCATCCCTTGATCTTGTAACTCAGAGAACAGACAAAAAGCTTGCTCAGGAAAATCATTCTCAGCATATACTCGGACCATAAGATTCCAGGTGGTAATGTCTTTCTCAGACATGCCTTTAAATATCATATTTGCATCATGATGTGATCCTAAATCTACATAACCTGAAATCAGAGAATTGAATGTGACTAAATTTTTTCCCTCTGATAAATTCAGAAACATTCTGTGTGCATACTCCATGTTACCACATTTGGAATATGCATCAATTATCGCATTCCCAATTGTGGGTGCAGTACCACATCCCAGAAAGCCAGTCATAATTGAGTAGCTATGTATTTCTTTAACCTTTTCTATTTGCAAAAGAGAAGCACAAAAATTAATTACAGTCAATATCGTAACAGAATCAGGCCTAATTTCTTCTCTATGCATCCAACGTAACAAGCTTAAAAAGTTAGAACCACACCCCCACTCTCCAAAGGCATCAAGAATAGAATTCCATGAAATTATATCTTTCCTTGATATCATAAAGAATGTATTCAATGCTGCCTCCATATCACCGCATTTTGCATAGAAATTTACACAGGCATTTCCAACTGCTGTATCCTCAAAGAGGAAAGGGTTTCTAAAAACATATGCATGAATTTGTTTTCCCACCTCTAAGTTTCTTAATTGAGCACACACAGGAAGGATGCTGACAATAGTTACAGAATCTGGCAATAACTCTGCACATGTCAAATTACCAAATATATGCAATGCTTTCAACCATTCACCATTAGAGGCATATCCGGCAATAATAGTATTCCAAGAAACCAAATCCCTTGCATCCATTTTCCAAAAAAGGTATTCTGCCTCTGCCATTTGGCCAACTTTTACGTAAAAACTAAGTAAAGAATTAGAGACAGAAATATCACTTGATAATTCAATCCGCTGCAGCATATAGGAGTGGATCTGTCTTCCAAAATGACGGGCAAATTTTCTATCAAATAAAGCACAAACAGGCAAAATACTTGCAATGGTTGAGTAATTTGGTTCCAAGGGTCCTTTAACCATCAAACTGAACAATGTGAATGCATCTTCCAAAAACTCATTCTCAGCAAGACCTGCAATCATTGCATTCCATGAAACAACATCTTTGTTAATAATGTTACTGAAAACAGCAAATGAATCATGAGACACCAGTCCACACTTTGCATAAAATGATACTAGAGCATTTCCAACAAAGGTGTCATTTTCAAATCCTGATTTGATTACATAAGCATGGGCGCTCCTCCCAACATCCAGATCCCTTGATCGAGCACATGTGGGAAGAATAGTAGCAATAGTAACAGAATTGGGCTTAGCCTCTCCTCTCACGTGCATGCTCCGAAACGTTCGAATCACATCATTGTCATGGTTCTTGGAACCAGAAAACCCAGATAAAACAATATTCCAAATAACAGGATCATTAGGACTCAGCTGATCAAAAAGCTTTTGGCAGTCATCAAATGCACCATATTTGGCATACATGTTAAGCAGTGCTTTGGAAGTGACCTGGCAAGTACCATGGCCCAGTTTGACGACAAAACTATGTAAAGCTCTGCCTAAGTTGCCAGCCAAAAGGGCAGTGCAGGACTTGAGAATGGCAGCAAATACCAGATGATCTGGTTTATAAACTATAGAACTCCGTAAGCACTGGAAGAGAAGCGTCAAGGCTTCTTTATGCCTAGTATCTATACATAAGCCCCTGATTATAGAATTCCATGCCTTGAAATCCTGTTGAGGCATGCCCAGAGGGAGCTACAATGGGACTTCAGGCAATGATAAAATATCACTAGTAGAAGCTGTCAGCAATCCGCTGAAAGTTATGAATTTTTGCATATTATAAAGAACTTCAGCATAACCATTTCTTCTTCTTCAATGAAACTAGCAAGCAAATAATAATACACAGACGACCTTCAACATGAAAAGACCCTGCATTCAGTTTGAATCAATTGTTCAAGGGATGATATAAAGAAGAATGTGAGAGAGAGAGCCAAAAAAAAAAAAAACTTTCCTTGCTCGCATTGTTGTAGCCATGGCGGCATTTTTCCTTCATGGCATCCACCAGATCATTAAAGGTGATGGAAGCATCTATTCTATGTCATTGGGTTCTCATACTACCCTCCAAAATCCATTTATCAAATCCACCGTATGTGTTTGATAAAAGAACATAATCACCATCGTGATAGAATCTAATTAGCTAATGGAATCACTCTTTTCCCTATATTTGAAGATCTTATCTTCCTTGTATATTTATACCTCAAATAGATTTACACAGTGAGCACTAAGATGAAAATGATAAAGTTGTGGGTTCTGTATGAGGATGCAACAAAGGAAGAGGAGAAAACTTACTGAACTAGTTCTAAGGCAACGTTTAGTTCCTCAATCTAAAAGAAAGCCTAGGAAAGGATACTAGTTTCTGGAAGTTGATGAGGTTGACAATAAGGACATCAAGACCGAGAGACTTCTGCTGAGGAGCGAGACAGGTTTCATCCCGGATATTGAGGAAAACCTGGTTCAGGCAAGAAAAACCTTATTAAATTGACCAAAATACCTATATTTTTTTACATTTTCCCAGAAGAAGCTCGGAATATATTTATACAGCCAAACCAAATGGAGAATTATGCACTCTAACTTACACTTTATTTGGATGGGAAGAAAAGTTGAAAGGAAAGAAAATAAAGAGAAGAGAAAACTAGAAGAAAATGTTGTCTTGAGATTTTATAATCCAAAACCACACAGCCATACATTGACACACAGTTGTAATGGATAAACAAAAAGTAATTTAGCATTGGGAATCATGGACAAATATCTATATGAAACAGAATTCCCTACCAAAGTTTCTAGCGATCAGGGATATAGAGTTGCATCAAGAAAAGAGATGAAAGAATACTAAAGATAATTTAGCATTTGGCCTACTATTATTTAAGGATCGAACTCCTTCCTAGTAGAGATTAATATATACTACACCAAATCCAAGAGCAGAATTTAACATCAATATAAACTAATATAGACTCCTTTCTAATATATACTACTAATATATACTCCAAGATTAAGATATAGAGTACATATATTCCTTCCTATCAGACCCAACATTCGGAATCAAAATCGAAGAGCAAAATCTAAGAAGGTACTTGAAGATTACACGAATGGTCAGGGCTGAGGAAATCAAGATCGAATATTACACTTCAAAATCAAGGCTGGAAATATTTTCCATATCCTTGTCGTTCCAGGTCTGAGTGAAACATTTTCCAATTATGAGGAAATCAAAATCCAAGGTTTGAATAAGCTAAAACAACAGAAAAACAATGCTAAAAATATTTTCCAAAATTCTGAAAGCTTCAAAATCATTTGCCGCTCAAATCGTAGTTCCACGGCCAATATTTCACGAAATCAAACAAGACAGACCACAAATCATGGCCGAACAGCAGAAAATCGAACAGGAAAATATTGAAGAAGAAGAAGAGAAACTTACCTTTGGCTGTGAGTCGAAGAAGAAGGGCGTAGAGAAAAGAACACGCCTTACTGGAAGATGATGCCGCTGCCTAAGTAGAAGATGATGGGTCTCCTGAGCAGCACGCGCGAAAATGAAAATGACGAGGTGGCTGAGTCGAAGCGCGAAAACAAATATGCCATGTTTCGCACGGTGTGTTCGTTACAACTCGTATTGAATGCGTGTGTGAAATTGTGAGTTACAAATGTAAAAAGGGGGATGACAATTAAAGATCTCCCCAGGAGATTAACATCAAATCAAATTTTTTTAAAGATTTTCTTTGGTAAAAATAGGAGAACGTGTATTGAATTTAGATCCATTGATTCAAGCAAGGCAGATACAATTTGGACCAGATTTATTCAAATTTATCATAAAATGCTTAAACATATACCAAAAGCTTATTTAATCAAACACAATCCTAAAATTGTAAATCAGTCAAAGAGGGAGTGAATTTGGCTATAAAAATTTTTTGACACATATTAAATAAGATAAAGATGAGAGATAGAAATGATATCAACAATATTTGTAGAATGTAAATGTGAGGAGAATTAACACAGAGATTTATCCTGATTTAGCCAATCACTAGTGTACATCTAATTCTAAAGTTTTACCACTTGAAACTTTTGACTATATGTTACAAGATTAATCTGGGCTTTTGGAATCTCAATATAAACTAGACTTCAAGTCTAAATCACTTCCCTTAAAAGGTAATCAAATAATTCACTTAAATTTTCCAAAGATAAGTCTTTGCTTCTGAGTATGTAAAACAAAGTATAATATAGTATCATCACACAACTGATTAACTATAACGACTATTTTTAAAAGAATGGATATGTAATTAATGAAGTACAATACATGAGTGATAACAGAGAGTAGTTGAAAGTATTAAATATTTAAACTTGGTTGTTCTAAATATTTGTTCCCATCTTTATAAATAAGTTTTTATAGTAGTTTGGCACGAATTATCTATTGGGCTCATTAATTTGGCTATTGTGTCTTGATCTTTGTTGAGTTGCTTTATTTAATGATAATCAATGCCAATGGTCTCAAGTTACCCAAAAAAAAAAAAAATGGAAGAAAGATATATCTCCGGCTATGTTAAGTGTTTTAAGCTTAAACGGATGACAAGTAAGATACACATTTAACATTATTATCATTAAGACAATTTTGAAAGTAGTGAAGAGTTTTAAAATTCATAAGTAAAATAATATTGGCTCATTTTTGAAACAAATGAATACTTTTGAAATAAATAAGTCTCTCATGATTTTGAAAAAAAAAAGATTAAAATAAACCTAAAGGTATCATGAGTTAAATGAGCAAATAAAGACTTTCTAACTTAAAAAGGAATATAATCAGAGAATAAACAAATGCTGGGTTCAAGATTAATCAAGAAAAAAAATTCCTAAGATTTTTCGAGAAAGAGCGCGAGCACAAATTTGGGAATTGCATTCAGAGCACCGCATGCTCATCAAGTCAGGAGCAATTTTGACTTTCCATTTTAGCTTTATTTGATCACTGCTGTCCATTTAAATTAATTTTAAATATTTTTACTATTATATTTATTAATATAAAAATATAAAAATTTTAAAATTATAATACATTTGTTCATTACCAATTTGGTCAATGCAGATTTAATCAAGCAGTCTAATTTAAGATTAAAAATTTTATAATTTTACAATTTAACTATACATATAAGCTTTGTACAGTTTAGATATAATTTAAATAACCTAATTTAATATTAAAAAATTTATGAATTTTAGAAATTAACTATTTAAATGCACTCTAAACAGTCCAAATTTAATATTAAAATTTTTTATATTTTTTATTTTAATAAATATAATATTAAAAATTAATTTAAATGGATGGCAAGGATCAAATAAAGTTGAAATGGAGGGCCAAGAGATGGCCCGAAGCGGACACATAATTTGGCACAAAGAAATTAATTTCAAATTTAGAGGAACTTTTGGGATTCAAGGTAACAAGAATTTTGAAACTAATATACTATTTCAAAATAGTTTTAGATTACATTAAGGAATTTTGAAAGTTTTGAGGCGTTTTGAAATTCACAAAACTGTTAGAAAAAGAATTTGAGAATGATATTGAAAAATAAGGTTACTTTTGAAGTTTGGACAAGTGAATGTTTTTGAATTACATGATTACATTTAAAATTTAGGTAGATTTAGGCCTATTTAGTACATAAGACTATGAGTTAGGGACTAGGACTAAGACTAGAAAACATAACTTTTTATGTATGGTAGGGATCATTAAGCAATCCAAACCCAAATCCAATCCCACATTACATGTTTAGTACCACCCCCTAATATTGCAAAATCAAATCTATGATTGAAAAATTTGGATGAAATTGCTCTCACCCATCTCTCTCTCTCTCTCTCTTGTGTCCTTTCCCTTCCCCAGTGACGCCTCTCTCTCTCTCCCCCCTCCCTCTCTCCTTACTCTTCCCTTCCCTTTCCTTTCCCTTTCCCTCCCATCCCCTCCCCTCCAAAACGATGTCTATCTCGTCCCTTGCTCTTGCATCTTTATCCTCCTCCATCCTTCATCCATTGATGACCTAGAGCTTCATCTTCCTCCACCATTGACGTCCATAATGAGTCACTAGTTCAATGGTTCTTATTCAAGCTTGGCATTGATGTGTTCAAGCTTGTGTTTGTTAGATCTGGGTTCATCTTCCTCTCCCACCATCAATGTCTACGGTGAGTCACTAGTTCAAGTCTGACTTCACATTGATGGGTTTAAGTTCATCTTCTTTCAAATCTGGGTTCAAGTTGTAAATTGATGGGTTTGACATCCCACCATTAACGAGTTTGAGTTTCAGATTTGGTTGAAGTCTCCCCTTCGAGGCTTATCTTCTAGATTTGACTCAAGTTCTTTTTTTTTTTTACCAAAATCTGATTTGAGTTCCAGATCTCATTCGACCCACCATTGAAAACTAATCAATTCATCTTCATCACTCGGAGGCTCCGATCTGTATTTTTCTTATTAATGATAAGAGGCATTATAGTATTTTGATAAATTTTTATTGATTATAAAATAAATTAATACAAGTATTCTATTCAAATATTACTCCGTACCAAATATATTTTTAAAGTTTCAATCTTAGTTCCAATTGCAATCTCAATCCCTCAAAATTCAAACTTGCATACCCAACATAACCTTACAGAGATACAGGGAAAAACTATCAAAATTTATAGAGAATTTTAAAATTTTGTGGAACTTTCAAAATTTTATATTAGTAAATTATGACAGCACGCAATTTTGAAAAGCTTAACACAGATTCAAAACTTAAAAGGATGAATACGTCAAGTTCAAGTTTTGAAACCATAAACTTAATTTCGAAAGATACAAGGATTGAAGTTAAGATTAAAATTTGGAAAGATAGGAAGGATTGGGCACATAAATATAGAATCAGTAGAAGACAAGAAATTTGAAAGGTTGAGGACAATTTCAAAATTCTTCTAGAAAGTTTGAAAATGGAGAAGTGCCCGTTTGGATTTTAGTTAGGTATAATAAATTATGAAAATAATTGATTAAGTGATTTTGGTCATAATTAATTATGTTATAACGCAATCTGTTTAGATACTGTTTTTCTAAAATTGATTTTAACAGAATTGAAAATGTTTGGATAATTTCTTCAGAATCAATTTTAGCTATGTAAATTATGATAATGGATGTTGCTTTTTAAAATTAAATTATTGATAAATTTGTATCTAATATTATTAAAGTTGTTACATTTTATTTAAGAAGTAAAATATATTATTTAAACTACATATATAATTAATTAAAAATTTAAATTATATTAATATTAATATTTAAATTTATGCAAATAAGTAACTAAATATATCTTACTTAAAATAAATTCAATAAAAGACAAGAAATTTAATTATTAAATATGAAACATTAATTTTATAATAACAAATAAAGATGATAATATATAAATTGATCCCTAATAATATCATGAATACTAGTCATAACTGATGAAGAAGATGTTATGGATGATGGTAAGGATACATATTCATCAATTTTATGGTCTTATTAATCCTCATGGTCTTCCTGATCTTCCCTCTTCATGACGCATAAAATCAGAATTAGAGTGTCTTCTAATGAAATTATGTATCGCCATTGATGCAACAACGATTTGAACTTGTATATCATAGTCATAGTTAGGCATGTTGTGTAAAATTGCAAACATGCTCTTTCTATTGTGCATCGTAAACTTGAATGAAAATAATTAAAGACCTTGTTATTATTTGCAAATCCAATTGATCTTCTAAAATCAAGATGGTAGCGTTCCCGTCTATATGGACCAAGATATCCATTTGGTGTTGGATAGCCGGCATCCACCAAATAATATTTACCTTGTAAAAAAGAGATTACTATTAATGTTTGTAAGTTGAAAAGTCTAACACAATAAATTGAATAAATAAATATACCTAAAAGCGGATGTGGAAAGGTCATGAATCGAGTTGTCAGAGCATGTTGAAAAATGCGAGCATCATGTGCAGTACCCTCCCATCCAGCCAAGACAAAAGTAAAGCACATGTCCCAATCACATATAGCCATTACATTTTGCATAGGGATTCCTTTTCTTCTAATAAATTTTAATTTTTCACTAGCAGGGACTATACAAGGAATACGTTTGCCATCAATTGCTCCAATGGCATTTTTGAAGAATGGCCAATATCACTTTTCATTTTCTATTTTGTTCGATACATGACGAAAGGACCTATTTTGTGGTTTGATATATTCCATTGCAAGTTTTAAGTAAGCCATTAAAAATTCATAGAAATATTTGTGGATAGTCTCTCCTGAATGTTAAAATCTTTCTTGTGCCATCCTATTTCCCAACCTATGTCCATTGTATTTAAAAAAATTGCAACCATCTCCTATACTCTCATTCGCCTAGTATCCTTCAGTCCATGCCATGTCAATTTACTGCATAATTGATGAAACACATGTGATTCCATTCTAAACATTTCAAATTGGGTGTCCCTTTAAAATTCATTAACCCACAAATGACCTGTATATTTACTATTTCTTTGTGGCTCTTTACACAAATGTTTTGTTGCATGCAACCCAATGAGAGCACTAACTTTTTGGGCTCTCTTTAACCTTTTTTTAGATGACTCTTCCATACGTCTTGCTACCTGTA